TTATACTTTTACTTGCTGAACTTTTCTCTATTTATATTGTTACTTGCTAAACTTTTCTCAATTCACACTGTTACTTGCTGAACTCTTCTCAGTTTATACTTTTTTTTGCTGAACTTTTCTTAATTTATACTGTTACTTGCTGAACTCTTCTCAGTTTATACTTTTACTTGCTGAACTGTTCTCTATTTATATTGTTACTTGCTAAACTTTTCTCAATTCACACTGTTACTTGCTGAACTCTTCTCAGTTTATACTTTTATTTGCTGAACTTTTCTTAATTTATACTGTTACTTGCTGAACTCTTCTCAGTTTATACTTTTACTTGCTGAACTGTTCTCTATTTACAATGTTACTTGCTGAACTCTTCTCAGTTTATACTTTTACTTGCTGAACTTTTCTCAGTTTATACTTTTACTTGCTGAACTTTTCTCAATTTATACTGTTACTTGCTGAACTCTTCTCAGTTTATACTTTTACTTGCTGAACTTTTCTCAATTTATACTATTACTTGCTGAACTTTTCTCAGTTTATACTGTTACTTGCTGAACTTTTCTCAATTGATACGGTAACTTACTGAACTTTTCTCAATTTATACTGCTACTTGCTGAACTTTTCTCAGTTTATACTATTATTTGCTGAACTTTTTTCAATTTACATTATTACTTGCTGAACTTTTCTCAATTTATACTTTTACTTGCTGAACTTTTTTCAATTTACATTATTACTTGCTGAACTTTTCTCAATTTATATTGTTACTTGCTGAACTTTTCTCAATTTATACTATTACTTGCTGAACTTTTCTCTATTTATACTATTTCTTGCTGAACTTTTCTCTATTTATACTGTTACTTGCTGAACTTTTCTCAATTTATACTATTTCTTGCTGAACTTTTCTCTATTTATACTGTTACTTGCTGAACTTTTCTCAATTTATACTATTATTTGCTGAACTTTTCTCTATTTATACTATTACTTGCTGAACTTTTCTCTATTTATACTGTTACTTGCTGAACTTTTCTCAATTGATACGGTAACTTACTGAACTTTCTCAATTTATACTGCTTCTTGCTGAACTCTTCTCAGTTTATACTTTTACTTGCTGAACTTTTTTCAATTTACATTGTTACTTTCTGAACTTTTCTCAATTTATATTGTTACTTGCTGAACTTTTCTCAATTTATACTATTATTTGCTGAACTTTTCTCTATTTATACTGTTACTTGCTGAACTTTTCTCAATTGATACGGTAACTTACTGAACTTTTCTCAATTTATACTGTTGCTTACTGAACTCTTAGCAGTTTATACTGTTACTTACTGAACTTATCTCGATTTATACTGTTTTCAATTTATACTGTTACTTGCTCAACTTTTCTCTATTCATACTGTTACTTGCTCAACTTTTCTCAATTCATACTGTTACTTGCTGACCTTTTCACAATTTCTACTGTTTATTGATGAACTTTTCAAAATTTCTACTGTTACATGCTGAACTTTTTCTCACTTTATACTGTTACTTACTGAACTTTTCTCAATTTATACTGTTACTTGCAGAACTTTTCTCAATTTATATTGTTACTTGCTGATTTTTTCTCTATATATACTGTTACTTGCTGAACTCTTCTCAGTTTTTACTTTTACTTGCTGAACTTTTCTCGTTTTTAACTCTATATTGTGATTACAGATGATGTAAATCGAGTGAAGTTGATTCGCGGAGATGAACCAATTAAGAAAATGAATGATTATGTAAATATCTCCTGTACTGATTATATAAATGCAAGTTATATTGCAGTAAGTGTCTTTAAAATATGGTTATTTTGTAAGTGTCATTAGAATATATACTGACTTTTGTAATAAGTGTAATAATAATCTTGTAAATATCATTAGGATAAAGGAATCAGGTTATATTTCTGTAAGTATCATTAGCAACAGGTTATATTTCTGTAAATATCATGCACTCATAATCTCTTCTTCCCTAATACACTGACTTCGTTCCCCTCCTTATCTCTTCTTCCCAACTACCAAGACCACACTCCTTATCCATACTACCCCTACGTCATTCCTATCTACACACCTGATCCATTCTTACCACTACCCCAACTTCATTCCTCTCCTATCTCCTTCCCACTACCCCGACTTCATTCCTCCCACACTCCTTATCTCTTCTTCCCTCAATCCTCTCTACATCCCCTGATCCATTCTTACCACTACCATGACTACACTCCTTATCTCTTCTTCCCTCATTCCTCTCTACACACCAGATCCATTCTTACCACTACCCCGACTACATTCCTCTCTACACTCCTTATCTCTTCTTCCCTCATTCCTCTCTACACCCCCTGATCCATTCTTACCACTACTCCGACTTCATTCCTCTCTGCACTCCTTATCTCTTCTTCCCTCATTCCTCTCTTCACCCCCTGATCCATTCTTACCACTACCCCGACTTCATTCCTCTCTGCACTCCTTATCTCTTCTTCCCTCATTCCTCTCTACACCCCCTGATCCATTCTTACCACTACTCCGACTTCATTCCTCTCTGCACTCCTTATCTCTTCTTCCCGACTTCGTTCCTCTCTACACTCCTTATCTCTTCTACCAAACTTCGTTCCTCTCTGCACTACTAATCTTTTTCCCAACTGCCCCGAATTGTTACCTTTCTTCTTCATGGATCTGTAAATCCCATTGCTCTTCTTCCAGACTATTTTCAAATCTGTTTTTTTCGTAAGTCACTTGAATATAGTTACAGTACTGTAATATCATTAATAGTTAGTTATATTGATGAGAGTAGCTAGAAATTTCCAATTTCATATTTCGAGCCATGTATCGAATGCTTGCATTAAATGTAAAATGTTTCTAAAACCCAACCTTTTTGCTCTGACTATAGGGTTCCAGCGGTAAACAGAAAGAATACATTGTAACAATTGATCCGTTGAGATGTACAGTGGAAGATTTTTGGACTATGATTTGGCAAGAGGAAGTTCATTCTATAATTATGTTATCCGATATAGACAGATCGGTAAATTGTATTTTTTATCTCTGTATGATAACATTTTTGATTTAATTTTGAGCTTATCGATATCCCAAAACCACCACAAACTACAAGACCTAAAGAACATTGTTACTTTACAATACAGTTCGATTCCTGTGATCCGAAAAATTACAACATACATGTATCTCAACCTTCAGGATATGTACCTAGAAAAATACAAAGATGAAAAGAGCATGGTAGCTTTATTATCGCTGAATATTACTTATATGATTTCAGTTCCATCAATATTGGAATGATTTGAATACGATCAAGAAAGTTGATAAATTGACGATAGAACTTAAGAAGATTATCACCCAGAAGAACTTTACAAGCAACATATTTGAACTGACCAAGGTATTTATCTTTATTTAATATCGTAAAACTAATTCCTCCACATCAATATAGTTAATCGCTCTTTCAAGTTCTGGAACAACATACACAACATTCCGGAACAATATAAATCACATTCCGGAACAATATGCACCGAATTCCGGAAATATGCACTACATTCCGGAACAATGTACACCACATTCACCAAATTCACTAGACGCAAACGAGAAACTTACGAAATAACATGCAATGACAAGAGATCATTAATAAAAAAATTGCAAAATAATTTGCACGGGAAAAATCAGTTAGAGGAACTTTAATGATTACTCCTTTGTTATAAATATACCTGTCATTTCTTGTGAGTCATTTCCTGTTATTTTCTAGGACTGTTTTATTCTAGGGTAGTAAACATCGCTCGTTACGCCATTATCATTTACCAGGTTGGAAAGATGGTTGTCCGACATTATCTCCAAAAGATGTTATAGATTTCTTAGAGGATGTGTATAGTAATGTACCAGAGACACTTGCGGAAGGAAAAATCGTCTTCCATTCAAGGTATGAACATCTTTCCTCCTTTCTCCGAAAAATTATGAGGGTTATTTCAAGATGTTGCTTGAGATCGACAAATTAAGATTCGGCGACCGTTTCTCAAGAAATCTTAACATGCCAATTTTCTTATATATTTTTGTGAACGGGAAATTTTGATCAACTAAAATGACATAAAATATTTGATAATTTTAGATATTTATACATCCATTATAAAATCCTTCATTTGTAGGACCGGAAATGGAAGATGTGGGGTTATGATTGGTGTAGATATTTGTAGACGAACTATACGTGATAATGAATTGTCAGATGAAATTGATATCTATGAAATTGTTTTGAAGATGTTAAATGCACGAACACAGATTATTACATTAGAGGTAAACATTTAAATTTTCTGGTCTAGAAGTCGTAGTCATTTTTTGGAAAATTTAACAGATTATATTGAATAACAATAATTATGTTGCTTACCACCAGCTTATAGGGTATAAAAATATCGTTAGGAAAAGAAGTCCATGGCTAGATACAATCGATCACTGCAAGTTTTCTATGGAATATTGGTTTCGCAGTTTCTACTTTGAACACGAGCATGTAAAAACTACTGAACTTCAGGAGCATCTTTACTCTATAGTACCAGTAAAGTCAAACGAGGTATTTGGAACTTTTTAAGAGCCACAGAATATCTACCATTGGATTACTAACATATATGAAAAACAGCAAAGCATTTTTCATTAAACAGTTTCCTTTGGATATAGACAATTTCATAACTAGCCCCTTGTTTATTTTCAACAGTCTCAGTATGGATTTATCTATGATGCAGCCAGCGAAATGACCAAAGGGAGAAAAAAGAAAGTAGAAGAAAATTACTCTTCATTTGTTGCCAAAAGCGAAAATTCACATGTTTACTCGGCATTATGTAAGTTAGCGTTCACTTTACCATGTGTAATGGTCAACAGAATCTGCGAACAGCTCGATTTTCAGTGACTGCTAGCAACTGGTGTCATCTGGTAGAAACAGATCAATCGCTGGATTAACAGTAGCGAACCAATGACTAAAGTGACGCATTTCCTGCTGGATACTTTCAAATTTGAGGGATATGCGGCCCGCGAGCAAGTGCTTCGTTTGCTCTTGTCACTGTTGGTGTGGCCCTCAGATGTCGCTGCCTATTCTGATATCGATTTCCATTATATCCACGCTGTTAAATCAAAGTATGACGTCCAAATGAATCTAACCAATCAAATCGTTAAAGAGGTCTGACCTCGTGTGATGATTTTAGTCAAATATGTCTGTTATTCCATGATTCATTGCTGGTTGGTTACGTGGCCCACGGCCTACTCGCATCCCTCAAATGTGGCCCGCCGTTTCGGAAAGGTTGCACAGGCCTGCTATAAACTATTCTGACGTCTATATCCTCTTTCAAGTTAAATTTTAGTACATTATTCAATGTGCAATTTAGAATGATTTTCAAACTAATAATCTCAATACAATTATTTTTTCAGAAGTTAAAGCAATGGTTTAGAGAAACTATATTAATGATTTCATCTATCATGTTTGATATTAACCTAATATGGACTCGGCTATGAACTATGGACTATGGACTATAATTAAAAAAGTGGTGATCGAAGGATTATCTTAGCTTAACAAATAATATGTTAGTGACGTTATCAATCGGTTGAGGCTTGAAAACATGGAAACTCATAAAATCACTGAAAAAGGTTTTGTTATCCCGAAGTGATAACTGATTGGTAATTTGAAACCCCTCGGTTATCTCACATAATACGATATAATCTTATAACTACACATTTTAAGGTTTTTTTGGAATAATTACGTGGATGATAGCTTAGTGTTATAGATTTATAAATGGATTTCTGTTGTTTTAACACATATTCCTAGTCGTACTAAGGGCTATAGTTCCTTTTAATAACTACGTAATAATCTACATAACTCAATGTTTCTTATAAGAAGATGAACGTATGGCAGATTGACACTGATTAGTGATAATTGGTCTTATCAGTCATTGTTTGTTCAGATTAACTGGTATCTATGTGGACAAAAACGGATAATTTTTTGCCAAAAATATTATTGAGAATCTATCTTTTTATTGTCTAATTAAATGAGTAACTTTGAGTCATGTCATAAAAAGTTTTGCGATTGGAAAGTTGTAGTTAGTGAGATATGGGTTAAAGTATTCAATGTGTCTAACTGTGTTAAAGTTGATATTCGTAAAGTTTTATCACCAAATTTTGATCGTATTGTTCATTATGTTTTGCGCATGGATTTTAAATAGTCGTGAGCTATATCATCCAGGCACAATTCTCGAATAACGTCTAGGTTTAGTTTTGCTTGCATATCTTTTTGTTAAAAACTCCTTTTTTATTGTAATATATGGCATTTCTCTTGTATTCACAGTTAAAATATACTTATTGAAAATGATACAAATCGAGGAAAAAAGCAGTTCATTTTTTAACTTCTGTATCAATGTAACTGTCTAGCCAATAATTGTGTTGGATCCACTCAAATTACCATGTTGGATAAACGAAGGTCCAGGTAGGTTACTGGCTTTACCATACACTGGACATTTCTTGAAAACACATGGAGTTTCTTTCCAGGCGTACCTCACTCCAACCAGATGGCGGCCCTGACAACCAGCAATGTCTAGAGTACCGCTGTTATCACCATGTTGAATTACAGATGCTGCCGTCCAATGGTCGTGGACGCTACAAGTGCTAGAACTAGAAGTTGAACAGCAAACCTGTGAAATTAATAAGACATTTGTACAGTACGGTCTGATTCATGAAATTAGGATTGGCTCTTAAGGCACATGAAAAGCGAACATTTTCGAAATAGATTGTTACGTTATATGAATATTGCTTGTAAATAAACGCTGCTTTAACGAGTGATAGTGCTCTGGTCCCAAACTCTAAGGACTCTTCGTGAACCATCATCTTCCCCAGGTATTAAGAAATATACTGAAACTGTCGAAGCAGCCCGTTACTCCCGGGGGTACTGATGACAAATTTTGAAAATGTTGGAAACCAAGGCTCTAGTTGTAGAAAGGTTTTAATATTTACCTCAAAACCAACACTGCTTCTAACTTGAATTGGTTTATCATATTGAATAACTAACTGTTTTCCAGTCACCCTGTATCGAGATGGGAAAGGACCCTGGTATTCTACATGCTCTTTATAAGCAACCCCTCTAGCAGCCAATGATAACCGGTTTGCCACATCTAATTTATCTCTGGGGTGAATTCTGCAAGCAGAGATACTAAAATATCAAAACTACCAAATCAGCACAATAAACACTGGTAACTGCCTGTATGCCGTGTTGAGAAACTTAATTACATTCAGAGTTGCATCAGATATGTCGGATCGACATAAGTGCAACAAAAGGTATTGTTACCATTTCGCAATTCAACGGTTACTAAATTACCCAAATTTTATGGGTTTTATTCTACAGTCAAATCATACATTTACAGTCGAGTTAACAGTTTGAAAGATTTGGGCAATAAAGCTTACGGGCCTCTTGGTGCATTTAAATCTGGTAGGTCCATACTAACTGCCATAAATACATTCTTCTGATCTGCATTGGGAGAATAACCATGATACGCTGTCTGAGCTAACCTAATTTTAGACCATGCATGATCAGCTGAATCGACTGTTCTGTAGGTTGCCAACTGAAAAGTGCAAGAAAAAGTATCTTACGGTCCTCTAGGCCCTGTAAAATCAGGTAAATCCATAGCAATTGCCATAAAAACGTTCTTCTGATCAGGATTTGGTGAATATCCATGATTTGCTGTTTGTGTCCATCTCATACTTGCCCAGGGATCAACAAAGTTGGCATTTCTGAAGGCAGCTAACTGAAAGTAAGTATTGAATACCAATAGTGTACCTTTCAAGCATATCATAAGAATTGTTCATGATGCAACCAGCCATGTTCGTATTCTCTGCCAGTAGCATATTTGTGCCATGAAGTTGTGAAGTACAACTTCTAGCAAATCTAAACCATGAATCAGTTAGTTCTTCCAATATTGGTACTACTCCAAAGCAGAAAAATCCAACTTTCTTTTTCGTATATCTATGCATTTAGTTAATCGAACTTTTACATCTAAACATTTAAAATTTATGACACATAGAGAGCTTTTACAACTACAACCTTGTGACGTCTCTAAACCCGAATTTCAGTTTCTTAAAGAAACGTATCTCAAGAAATCGTTCAGGCTCTCAAGTCTTTATAGCATCTTACCTGAACATACCCAAAGTAAAAATCATTTTTAGTTTCACCAAGAGAAGCATCGTGAAATCTTCTTCTCCAGTCTTCTATCATGTGTTGTTGTTGACAGTCATAGTACTTCACTCTACCAGCATTAGATTCACCTGAAACCACCGACAAAGAAAGAAACAACTATCTTTTAACGAAGATTCTCTCAACCTCTTGGTCCTTGGCCAGATCTTTTTTTAAAAAGTGGTGTCTATGTAGACTATATTTCAGATTATAACTAGTAGATTGGTTAACCCGAACATACCTTGGTACCAAATAGCACCTGTTATAGTCATTGGTAATATAGGTTCTATCATGGCATTCCAACATCCACTATCTTCCCAACTATATCTAAAAAGTCCAACACCTTCATAAACCGTCATTAAGAAAGCAACTATCAAATTATATGACAAACCATTTTCCAAAAGCCACAAGGGTATTTACTTAACGCTTTCATATACAGGGGGTATCGTTGGTACCTTGCTCTGAGATTATGCTTCAAGCAAGCATTTTCAATTACATATCATTATTGCTACTAAAAGCCATCGGATTTTGATTTTTGATATACAAAATAGGATACGCAATGGACAGTATTTTAAGGAGGAAGAGTCTAGCTTATGAAATATAAATTATGTTTATATGGTGATTCTGGAATCGATAAGATACTAAGAACTAGGTGAAAAATGGAAGAAGGCATGGTATACACATTCTTACCTTTTCCTTCTATTCTTTGGACAAGCTGCTAAAGCATCTGGAGAAGACCAAGTTTCTATAGGTGTTCCTCCCCAGTCTGACTCAACCATTCCAATAGGATATTTACGATCAGTGTGTATATTCTTACCAAACAGAAAACATATCGCAGAAATCCACGGCAAGGTTGCTGTAAATCAATAGATATAAGCTTAATTTAACTAATTAGGTTTCTTTTGTATACACTACTGAAAAGGGTTATATCAGAATATAGACCTAGATCGACAATTGCCAAAATAAACACAAAAGCACCAGCCCATTGGCACCTTCAAGTTAAATCACAACCATTTACACTTCCTGTTGCTCCTGGGTTCAGTTATTCAGAAAGAGCTCAGTTTTTATTAGTATCACTTGTCAGCTTTAAAATCTGAAGTCAGGTGCTCCTACAATTCAACAGAAACGTACTGTGTAAGTCTAGTAACACAACCAAATAGACGACCACACCTGACTAAGAACTAACCTTGGTTTGGTTTTGTCCAGGATATAGAGATATGTTTTAAATCGTTATTCACAGTGGTTTGTTGATCATGGTCAACTTTCATATACCTTACTTTATCATAATTAAAACCATCAGCTTGTACAGTAGAACTATTAAACATCTAGAATCAACAACATCTAAATTTAAAGTTGAGTTTGCTTGGCATTGATGGAAAAAAACCTAAATTTCTCGGATTTTCCATTTGAATAAAGATCACCTCATGCTGCCGAAGTGTGTTGAGGATAAACAATCATTATCAGGTTTACCTCACAGAAAAAGATAACATTGTATTTTCTAATTGGGAAATCTAGGGCAATTTTCTAAATGTATTTGTTTCTTGTATACTACAGATAGGAGAGCAGTAGGGCACACTTTTTAGGATTATGCTTGTCCCCAATGAAAAGTTTCATAATTTAGTACTTACGTCATGGATGTTAAATTCCATGTTACTTTGTCCAGAACAGATCCAGACGTCACCGAACAAAACATCGTCTATTTTGATGGAACCCTCTTTAGAAGAAGCTGTAATACTGAATGGTCCAGGATCTGTCATGGCAGGTAATTTAACTTTCCAGACACCACCATTACCATGAGTATTCTTAGTGATTGTTGCTTTACTGCTACCATGTCCACTTATTGTCACCGTTACATCATCACCAACAACATCAGAAAACCCCCAAACTATTGCCCTCTGTGGACCTCTTTGTAATACCATATGGTCGCCATAGGACTTCGCAAATTTTAAAACAGCATTTGAACCTATATGTAATAGGTATGTAATGATGATGATGATGATGATGATTACAATGACGACAATAATGATAATGATATGAGATTCCTTTCTGTACCTGTACCTTATGCCATTCTAAAATGAATCGTAATACAAGATGTCACACGTGTGAAGCATTTTCATTTAAAATCAAGACTGAAAAAAAACATGCTTACTCCAGATATTCCCTAATATAACACCAATAAACAACAGTTTATACATGGTGTATAGAAATAGAATATTATAAAGAGGAACAAACGAAATGTTAACATAAACTATAATCTTTGTGAAACCATGATAAGGCTTGATAAGAATAACAGATATAAAAATTGTACGTGAAATACAAATCACTAGGAACAAAGCAGCACAATTTTTTTTAGAATGACATTGAAATTTCACACTTTATTTCGATAACGCTTTGGATCAACATCAGACTACATAACAGACCAGGGGGTATTTTCCTGAAGAAGGGCGGGAAAGGGGGGGGGGGGGCAAAATTGAGACTCGAGGCCAGGCCCAGAAGGCCTTGGGACTGGAACTCTCAGAGGCTTCCAGAAGCCAACCTATTTCAGATGAGAGATGGGTTTTGGGCATTTAGAAGGTTTTCACTTCATAACAAGACCTTTCGCATGCCCAAGTAAAGGACCCTGGCCCGATTATGGAAGCCGGCTTCTGCCATATCTACTCTCGACTTCTCGCCCACGAGAAAGCGTGGAAACTCGACTTTTCGTCCACGAGAAAGCGAGGAAAAAGGCGAGGAAAAAGGCGCGAATAAAGGTGACGAAAAAGGCGAGAAAGCGAGGGTAAAAAATTACGAGGAAAAAGGCGAGGACAAAGGCGAGAAAGCGATGAAAAAGGCCAGAAAAGGCCAGAAAAAAGGCGAGGAAAAACGACGAGGAAAAGGGCGAGGAAAAAGGCGAGGAATAAGTCGAGGAAAAAGGCGAGAAAGCGAGAGTAAAAAAGGCGATCTCGCCTTTTTCCTCGATTTGTCGTCTCACGACGTCTCGTGGGCGAAAAGTCGAGGGTAATATGGCCGCAGCCGGCTTCCATACCCAATGATACTAGATACACTTCTGTTACAGACTAAATTCTTGATGATACATCTCATTCAATTTGCGACCTCCTTTTCGATCTGTCCAAGGTTTGAACCAATAACGTCTCGTGGGTTATATCTCTTCTCTTACGCACCAATAACAGGAATAGGGCAGCTTCTTAATTCTGCTATTAATACCTAAGGGCCTTTGCCATAGGTTTTTATCCCACTATTTCACTAACTACAACTTTTAAATGTCTATTTTTTTTAGAATAATAATAAAGTTACTCATTATATGAGCCATAAAAATTAACAATCTTTAGCACAAATTATCCATTTGTTCAATTTAGATAAGAGTTATTCCGAAAAACTTTGACTTTGCATAAAATATCATATCAGTTCAAAGAAATATTATTTAACGCAGTTAATGATGTTCATTGATTTACAACTACTTGAAGTTAAAGCGCGTTAATATCATTGCAAAACAAATGTGTTGAAAATAAAACTTGAAAATCGCAAGAACCAAAACTTTTGGTTTGTTAAAAGTTTCATCACTTTCACATCTCCTACAAAGAAAATATAATAATCAATACGAAGCTCATACATTTAAATCACAAATATAGCTTCCGTCCTTATTTCACAAAATATGGCAATTTTTTCGATCAGTCAAAATTAATGCTTATTGACTCAATTATAGCACGGCAATGAAAAATTATGTTTCTGCAGGAAAAAACAAAACCGACGTTTTATGGTTCAAAAGGTAACCGATTAGCGAAACATTTTACGTCTTATTTCTCTTCATCTTATTTGGGAGGGATTTTTTTTAGCATGAACATCCTATGGCACACGGTATTCGGTCTTTTGTCCTATCCGAACGACTGGACTTTTTCCACATGTCAGCCTTGCATCACTGACAGGGGGAAACCAGGTGGAAAATCCGACGGTATTAACTCGATCTATTTAGGGATTGAATCCTGGACATTCAGATAAGCAAGCAAGCAATGATATTAGGGTTGGTTGCAATTTTCAACTATAGTTACATACAAAACCATGAACAAAGTACTTACTTAGGGACAATTAATATGAGAATAATGATCTGTTTCATTCCGAGAATTACTTAATGAGTAATAGTGATTTTCTTCATTTTCTTTCTTTTGTTTTATCATTTCGTTAACTACATCATAGATTAAACTGTACTGACACTGTTGAAGGAAAACAAAAATACACTTTCAATGTAAAAGGGCATGAAGAAATACATAACGAGAAGTTCAGATATGTCGTCCATTTTCTCGTAAAAAGCACGGAGACCACCGGCGATGTCAAGTTCTGTTCTTTGTGAAAACCATTTTCTATGCCTTTGGAAGAACGCTAAAATCACATGCTTAGGCACAGTTTGAGTGCTGACATGGGGATTCGTTAGAAGTATGCACCAAGAAGAACTCTGTTAACTTTCTTTCTACTTTCATTTGTCATTAGAGGGAGTGATCCTTATTTCATAAAACTCGTTTGCTTGTAACTATATTTGTGAACAGTCCGGATTTCTCATCGTAACATTTTTTTTATCAAATAATGTAATGTAATGTGCATTACCCCTTTTTGGAAGCAATGAGTTTCAAGAGATAAGAGTAATTGACATGTTTCAGAGCACTCTAACCTGTCCTGCAATATGTCAACACGGATATTTGAGAGCGTATTACGTTACGTTACGCTACCTCTTGATTTACAATCTGTGATCTTGCATGTAACATCTTTAAAACGACATCGAATATATCAATTTCTTCTGATAAATCCAAATTATTGATGTAATGTCTGCATATATCGATGGCTATTACAGAACCAGATCTACCATTTCCGGTTCTAAAAATTTGAATTAAAAAGAAATGAAATAATAATAATAATTATTCGATCTTTTTACAATATATTTATTGCTTAATGACAGGTGTCTGCTTGATAGATCCACATTTTCCATTGTTTCGACAACATCCGTTCCTTTTTCCCAGCAAATGAGTGACGCGCAAGCTAATCAGGAAAATACGAATTATGCCCGATGTTGAAGCGACCCAGGTATTTTCAAAATGTATCAGATGATGAAAATCTATATACTAAACAGTTACTTACCCGCAATGGACTACAATAGGACCGGAGTTGGGATGTTTATCATTGTAAATATCGTGGAGAACAGCAAGCATGTCTTTTGCAGACATTGTAGGTCGATCTCCTTTCCATCCATTAAATTGATAATGTTTGATTTTACGAGTTTCATTACCCTGTAAGATATATGCAGGTAACATGTGAGAATGTCAACAATGCTCTGGAAACTTCAAATCTGAATTCTGAAATGTGGTACGGATAGTTTCAGTGTAAGTAAGGAAATATTTAAACGATTATATAAAGCAAATATCGAGACTACATAAAACATATTTTTAGAAGCACGGAAAAACTGTCATTGTGCAAAGCACTATTTCTCTGCTTCGTTGACCCATCGATGTTGGACCTTTTTGGTGGGAAGCTGCCTACTTTCACTGACTTATGAGATTACGTTCTAATCACCGTCTAACACTGACTTCTTAGTGGATATGTTCAGCATAGCTCAGTTGAATTCATTTCATTGCTATTCATAGAAATTTAAGCGATTTGAATCCATCAACTTGTAAATCTGTTTTCAAAATCTCGCTTGTTTGACATGGTTATAGTTTTGCCCCGCCCCTTACCTTATTCAACTCAAACATCTTGAGAATATATTTCTTCAGAGTAATAATTTTCTCCAGTTCTACCATAACATCAGCACAATTCAGAACTTCATTCATATCCTTCCAATACTGGTCGAACTGTAAATCATCGAAAGGACCAAAACAATTATTATTTTTGACAATTGTAGAATGGACTGCTTAGTGTAATAATAATAAATCTTCAAAATGACAAGCTATTACGAACTTCGTTTTAAAAATTCTTGTATCACGGGATTCAGCCATTTGATTGAATTGAACCCTAGCAATTACAGTAAATCAGAGTCCTCGTCAGAAAGGCTGTAAACACTAATGGCTATTGTTTACAGACTGTCAGGGCCTCTGATTGACTGTATTCGCTAACATACTTTTCAAAACAGTTTTTGCTATGTAAACATAATAAAAACAGTTTTTGCGATCTTAACAGTGGAAGAAAACTAGAAGGACAACAGTTTTTCAATCTAAACAGAATAAAAACAGTTTTTAGCGATCTTAACAGTGTAAGAAAACAGGAAGGAAAACAGTTTTTGCGATCTAAACAGTGGAAGAAAATTAGAAGGAAAACAGTTTTTGCAATCTAAACAGAAGAAAAACAGTTTTTGCGATCTAAACAGAAGAAAAACAGTTTTTAGCTATCTTAACAGTGGAAGAAAACTAGAAGGAAAACAGTTTTTGCGATCTAAACAGTAAGAAAAACAGTTTTTGCGATCTTAACAGTGGAAGAAAACTAGAAGGAAAAAGACAGTTTTTGCGATCTAAACAGAATAAAAACAGTTTTTGCGATCTAAACAGTGGAAGAAAACTAGAAGGAAAACAGTTTTTGCGATCTAAACAGAAGAAAAACAGTTTTTGCGATCTAAACACAAGAAAAACAGTTTTTAGCGTTCTTAACAGTGTAAGAAAACAGGAAGGAAAACAGTTTTTGCGGTCTATTATACAGTGGAAGAAAACAGTAAGGAAAACAGTTTTTGCGATCTAAACAGAAGGAAAACACTTTTTGCGATCTAAACAGAAGAAAAACAGTTTTTGAGATTTAAACAATGAAAGATAACAAGCAGGAAAAAAAGCTTTTGCCTTTTTCAGCTTTTTAGCTTTTTTACCACTTAAAAATACAAAATATGTCTTATTACACTATCATCTTTATCCGATAACATGATGATAGTTTCAACGTTTTCTTGCCAAACCATACACCAGAAATCGTCCACGGTACATTCCATTGGGTTTTGGGTTGCTATGTACTCTCTTTGTAAGCTATACCCCTA